GTCAAAAGGGGGAGTAATATGTTTGTACTTGCTCTTGTAGTTCTCTTTGTAGTATGTTTGTACTTGTTCAGTTAGAAAAATTGAAAGCTTGTTTAGTTTTGCATTACTGTTTTATAATTGATTATTGATATGTTTGCCATCATCAAAAAGGGGGAGATTGTTACAAACATGTTTTTGGATTATAATATTGATGATAGCAAACAAATCTTGTTTCACTACGACTGCCTATTTTCTACTGACTTTTCAGGACTCAAAGATCGGACTGAAATCATAATCAGCTCAAGACTGGGTAGATTATGATTGAGTCAGTCTGTATTTTTCTTCTTTTCTTTCTTGAGTCAATTGTAATGGCTGATGCTAAGAAACCCTACACACACACTTGAGAGATATAGAACTTGTGTTTTTACTCACATCGTCCCGGACGATTTTTCTATCGTCTTGGATGATCGAGTTCAAAATAGAAGATCTAATCAGGATTTCTTAGTTAAGGCAGGTGTAATTATCTGATCGGCCTAGACGATACCTATATCGGCCAGAACGATATGCTCAATACAGAAAGAATTTACTGCCATGACCAATTTAGGTATTCTGTATTTTTAGAAATTGGCCAGGACGATCATGATATCGGCCTGGAAGATATTACACAATTATGCCTAAATTGATTCAGGAATAAAGGAAGTAATTAAGGATGATTTATACGATCACATCGTCCTGAACGATCGCAGGATAGGCCAGGATGATCTATTTAAAAACCCTTAGTTGCTTCTGGATAATGAATATCGGCCAGATCAAATTCAGGGCGATGCTCTGAATGATTTTCCTCTGATTTGAACTAATTGCCAGGATGATCATGAGATCGTCTACGACGATCAAGCAAATTTTCAATCGTCCAGTTTGCATTCAGGGCGATGCTCTGGCTGATTCTATAAGATTTGTACTGATCGGCCAGGACGATTTAAATATCTTCCTGGACGATAAAGTCGGTAACTTGCACTTAATGAGCCCCTTTGAAGCTCTTCTATTTAAGAGCTCTTGTTCAATATTTTTGAACATCATTGATTGCTGTCTTGACCTGAGAAAACCTAAAAGAGAGAGAGAGAGGGAGAGAGAGAGAGAGAGAGGATCTTGTGAGGGTGAGCTTGTAAGGGGATTCACAAGGGTTGCTCCAAGCATTGTTCCACTTCTTCTTCCCTAGAGTCTCTTATCCTTTGAAGGGTTAGGAGCGGCAAGTTTCAACAAGTGATCGTGGTTCTCTTCCTGCTTCAGGAGGAAGCAAAAGGAGTTGGGTTCTCTGCCTTGCCGGGTGTGGCAAAATGGAGGTATTTTTATAAGGGCTTCTCCGCCTAGCTGTGGGGGCTAAAGGAGAGTCACGTTTGTAGTGCAATACTCGGAGGGCGCCTCCGGGGAGTGAACGTAGGTCAAGTTGACCGAACCACTATAAATCCTCGAGTTCTTGTTTTTACTGCTTCCGCACTTATTTTTGTGGTGATTTGGTTTGTGATAATCGTTCTTTTTGCTTAATGAAATTTTTAAATACCAATTCACCCCCCCTCTTGGTTAGCCTCGGGCCAGTTCTATAGGGCTTAACATCCCTAACGAACTTTCATCCTGGTGATATTGTGCCTTCTGTCTCTCCTGTTTCTCCTACTTGTGATGTGGATTTGTCTCCGTTAGCTATCAATAGTCCTGTTAATGCTTTATCCTCTATTAATCTGTCTTTGAATGTACAGGCTTTTGATTATGATGTTAACCTTATGACGCCTATTGTTCTGGTTCCTAGCCCTTTTGTTGAGGTTCATGTTAAGTTTATTTCAACTAAGGCTTTATTTTCTCAGGTGGGTGCTAACTCGGGTGAGAGTGTGAGAATGTAATTAGATTGGATTCATTGTTCGTCTGATTCATCTTCGAAGGATAGCGGGGATGAAGTTCCTAAGGTTAATTTGGCTGGGCAGAAAGACAGACCTGTTGTGTCTGTTTCCTCTCGTGGGAGGCGTAGGTGTGGTAGGAAATGAATTAGGGTTTTAGTGTTGCTTGTTTGGGCCTTTTGTCAGTTTTTCTCCTTTGGGTTATGGCTATGACTTCTTTGGTTGGAAGGCTCTCTGTTTCCTTTTCATTTATTTTCGTTTGGTGTTTGCCGGTTTGCTGGAGCTACATTTAAGAATTACCAAGGCGAATGTTTGTTTATGGGCAATGATGTGGCTAGGGCTCATTTCCCGGAAGCTCTGGCTCGTGGCAACCTTTAGTGGTGCGTCTTCTGCTCGTGGCTGTTTTGTTCGTTACTGCTCTCACTCCATACTGGATGGCCCCGTGCCTCACTTCAGGGGAGTTGGTAGCCTCTGCCAATTACTGAGCCTAACGAGTTGTTAACCCTTTCACCCTCTGTAACTTTTTTCGTATCTTTTTTTTAGGTGGTTATACTCTTTTTTGATGTTGGAATAAAATTTGTTTGTAAAAAAAAAAAAGAAATGAGCACAAGATACCACTTCTTTTCATGACTCACATAGCTACATGAATAAACAATAACCTCTTTGCTTTACGGCAACCACACCATCTTTATGTGTTCTATAATGCTTACAGTTAGAGAAATATGGGCACAAGTTTATTTTTTTTATAGAAATGTACACCGAAGTTCTCGAAAGACCCAAAAGACCTAATCAGGATTGATGACTACAATTTTTAGTCTGCCTAACCTAAATTAATTTGAATAATATTTGAACAATATTCATACAAATATCAATCAAGTTTAATATCATATATGATAAAAATTGATCCATGATCAAATACTTTTCAAATCTTAATCAAACGTTTATCTTTATTATCATTATTTTTTTCAATAAAGGTTCAAATATTGTTCGAATAAGATTCAAATATGATTTGAGTAAGAAATTGCTAGAAAAATTTATAAAATAGTTGACTAGTACGTTTGAATAAGGTTTGTATAATGTTTTATATAATACAAATTCAAAGAGTGATCATAGCAGACAACAGAAGAAATTCAACCATGACATGCACCGAATAATTGTTGAACAAGGTGTGAATAGAACATGTTAGATACAACCAAGAACAATCACAACATGCATAACACAATGAAAATAAAAAACAAATACATCATTGCATAACCATTCAACTAGTGACAGTGTTTTAAGAATTATAACTAATCCATGCAAGAAAATAGTTATGAAGGTAGTAAGCTCTTGGTCTTACAAGTAACTTGATTATAGCCTCTAACTGTACATAGGGTACGCTACATTGGACCCCATCCTTACATCCCTTTGAAGGCATCCTATTTTTCTTTGAACTACCACTACTAGGCTTTACTGATGAGGGTGATAGAATAGCTTATTTATTTCATTATGAGTCTCCTAGGTGTCTTTTGTAGCAAACCATGCTTCTTGTATATAAACATTTTAACATAAGGTGTAATGATTAACGGACACCCCAATCTCAAGCTACAGCCACTGCATATTCACATGAAAGGCCCATAACATCAAGGAATTGATGATGCTTCACCAAAGCATTACATCATCTCCAATGTTAGATTAAAATTGTCTATTATCAAAATCTGTCACTTTACATATAATATTATTGAGATCATTAAAGAAAATATTTCTTTGTATCTTTAATCTTTTGCTTCATTTTTCATTAATTATCTAATTAACTTGTTTGTCTTCCATCAATTCTTCTCTGCACAATAAGAATTTAGATGCTTGATTTACCTATATAAAAAAAACTTCCATGGTATTATAACTTCACTTTTCTTCGAACCTTAATTAAAAATAATCAAATGATATTTAAACAAGTTCTAATATTGATTGAACAATGATTAAATTATTGAGTATACTTAATATGTCATTGAACAATATTCAAAGACATGATCACACCTTATTTAGATCGTGTTAAAATAACTACCTAATTAATACATGATTTCATCTTATTTTATAAATTATAGTAAGAAAATTATTCAAATAAAGCTCAAACAATACAGTGTTTGGAATCTTGAATCATGTTCGATTCCAATTCAAATAAGATTCAAATATAATTTGAGGAGATATTTTAACCAAGTATATACACACACTTTTTGACACTCAATCTAACTCTACAATACATATTCGTTAAAATGACTTAATATATGCTACATGATGACAACTTTGAATTTTTTTTACCAATATATGCTTAAGCCGTTTATAAATAAGAAAATTTTTTAACATTGCCAGCAAGTCCATCCTGAGCAAAGAAACTTAGGCTTCTTTTGGGACGGCTTCTTTATTGCTTTCTAAAATAGAGTTTTAATACAAAAATAAAAAAATTTGTACTAAAACTTCGTTTTAGAAAGCAATAAAAAAGCCGTCCCAAACGAAGCCTTAATTGAAGATATGACGATGATGACATCAACCAATGAAGAAAGGTTTTCTGTCATTTTCATCATATTATACATATAACGAGGTTATTTTTGCTAATAATATTGGTTGATTTTTTCTTGAAAACAAAAATGAGAAAAAAATAATTATTGATGACACTTTATATTTTTAATTATCATTACAAATTATGAGGAAAATTTTTTGTCTATAAAAAATTTAATTGTTAAATATAAGCATAAATTTTATTTATTCCTAAAAAATATTGCTTTCATATCTATTATGATGTTCCATTCTTTTCTCCGTTTTAAGGATTTATTAATTTTATCAAATAATTTGTAGAATTTATTAATACTTTCAGAATTTACGGAATTTATTTATTTCAAAATCATCATATATCTCCATTTTAGTAAGTACTACATTATTTCTATTTACAATTTTAATATATAAAAATGATTTTAAATGATCTCTAAAATAATAATAATAATTAAAATATCAAATTAAATAAAAATTTAGTTATTTAATTTTATAAAAGTTGGATTCATTTTGTCCAATTTTAATTTCTTATAAAATTGGGATTAATTTTTTCAAAGAAAAAAAAAAAAACTAATTTTGTATAGATTTCTAGAAAGGCTTATTTTGAACTTTTTTTTCTCCTTCAGCCCTAGGGTTCCGCGGTCCGTTCGATGCAACCAAACTCTTTCCGTCCACCAGCGAGGGCATTCTCCGTCCCTGATTCGGCGAGTCATTTCTTATAATTCTAGCTTTCTGGGAATTCCGCTGAGTCCTTCGTATTCTCGAATTCAGGCTGGAGTTACAATTCCGCACCTTGATGAGAATACTGTGGTTGATACCTATGCGGTGGTAGTTTCTATTTTAATTTGATTCATTGATTGTGTATTTGGAGAAGAAAGGAAGTGAAGCCCTACTTAAGTAAGGGCTGTTTCTAATGGTGAGTTAACTCCAGAAGTTGGTACCTTCCTCGATATAGGTTCTCCACCAGAACTGTAGAAAATCTTTTTAGAGAAGATTGAATGCTGAGCTGTTGAAGGAGAATACTCAAAGGAGTGAGAATTGCAATCAAGTTATCATCTTATCCTTCAGTGATGTCAATGGTTTTCCTCCAGGAGGCACAAGAAGTATTAGAACAAGGTCCATACTATTATCTTCTATTTGTAGCCCGCTTTATATTGTTGGTTTGCTCAACATGATTTCAACAGTCTTCTAAACACACAATTGGAAATTAGTCAGACAATAGTTGACCTCAAGCCATCAATAATGTCGGATGAGCTATAGCTCATCCGATGAAAAACCCATTTAACGGTAGCTAATGTTCAACAAAATATATACTGAAAAAGAGTACGTTGTTGATATTCTTGCTGGTCACCCTCTACAAGCATGTAATTGTTTTAAGCTACCTGTTGATGCATTTCAACAGTTGAAGTAACTGTTAGTGAGTCGTGGTTTTATTAGGGACAATAGAAATATAGTAGCAGAAGAACAATGAGCAATGTTTTTTAGAGGTGTTGCACACACACATTCAGACAATTTGCGAGTTTATCCAACACTTACTGGAGACAGTGAGTCATTGTTTTAACTTGATTTATGAGCATTTGTTTCTTTAGCAGATGAATTTATATAGTTACCTATTGAAGATATAGGGTGCCATCTTTTCGTGTCTTCAAACCATCAATTCTACCCATATTTCAATAATGCCATAGGAGCAATAGATGGAACTTATATTCCTACAATATGTAATATTGGCCTACAAAATCGTTACAGAAATTGAAAGGGGTTCACATTATAAAATGTTATGGCCATAGTCTCATTTGATTATTAGTTCATCTACGTTGCTTCTAGTTGGGAGGGATTCACGATAGATATGAGAATGTTACAGTGGGCAGTTGAGGAAGGAGACTTTAAACTTCCATCCGATAAATTTTATCCAGTGGCTTTCAGTTGTGCAATGCGGACAAACTAGTATCGGTGCTCTAATCAGCAGTAGTTGTATAACCACTGCCACACATAGTTATACAACGTAGTTAAACGACCAATTGGTATTTGGAAAGAGAGATATCAAGTGCTAACCCATATGAAATAGTCTCCTCTAACGGTGCAGACGGACATTGTGCTTGCTTATGCAATATTACACAATTTCATAAGACAATACTATGGACATAACATGCACTTCAATATGTCTCAAACAGAAATGCAGCATGACACTGAGTTAGGTAAAGTACTAGCACCTAATGACGACCCTAACATCCATGTTACTGTTGCGGAAAGGCTTCATGAAGAAAAACTAATGCATTTAATTGCCAATGGGTTGTAGGAAGGTCGGGTAAGACTTTATTCAATTAAGTAATTAACATACTTTTTCTATTTGTTGATTCATCGTGCTTGATTTAGTTGAATGCAATGTATCGACAACGTCGTTCATGTTGACTACATTTTTTGTTTCCTCGATGAGTGAAATAAAATTCAATTTATAACCATGGTTTCTTTAGTTTGAGTGAAGCTTTTTTGTAACTTGGAATTTTGTGTGGACATAGCTTAAGTTGTTTATGTTGGAAGTAGCACATGCTAGTTTGATTTTGGGTATATGATATATGTAATAACCACACTTTAAGATATGAATTTTTTTGTTCGTTCTTATTGAGTTTATTTCTTCCTACTTGCTATTTTCTCTTCATTCTTCATGAACTGCTTCTCAAATATTATCCATTTCTTGTGATTTCTATGTTGATTTCACAGGTTATCACATGAAATGTTAGCACATGTTAGTTTGATTTTCTATGTTGAATTCTCATCGTGTCGTTCTTGCTATTACTTGCCAAACAACACCATAGGTTTTTGTTACAATTCATAGAATTGGAGAAAGGTAAAAATACCTTCTAATTATTATACAAAATTATCCCTATTTATAGATCTATACAAGAAGTCTTAATAAAGAAATAAATAACTTCTAATTGATACATAATTGCCTCAATATAATCCTTCCTAATTCAGCTACCCAAATATAGAAGGATATTGGCGTGATCCAGGTGAGCCTCCCACGGATTCTCATCCTGACTGTGGGATCAAATGCCAATGGATGACTGAGATTTTGACAGTTTTAAAAATGAATAAGTAATTAGATTAATTAAGTAATTAGTAGCATAAATAAATAATTTGAAGAAGCTTAATTAAACAATTAGCTGTATAGTTAATAATTAAAATTTAATTTAATTAGCTTAATAGATATAATTTGAAATATAAATTATTATTATATAATTAATAATGTAAATAATAATTAAATAAGTAATGAGTAGTAGAATATTTAAGCGACCACTGAGATAATTACTTGTATAGTTAATCATTAAAAGAATTAAATAACAATTCAATAATTAATGAAATTTTTATTATGATTATAAGTTAAATAATTAGTTATTTAAAAAATAATGAACAAATTAATAAGATATCAAATACATATTGAATCAGCAACTAAGTAATTTGATACTTAGTATTATAAATTATAATTATTAATTAAATTATTAGTCAAATTATTTAATAATTAAGTTAGTTTCTAATGATATTATTTATTATTACAACTTATTGATGGCAATCAAAATTAAAATTAATAAATAAATGTTCTTAACACATAATTTAAATTAATAACAAAGTAAATTTAATTTTTAAATCAACAAACCGCCTTAAATCTTGGATGATATTTCTAAACAATTTCATAGAATTTTAACAGCTCTAGGATTTATTAAATCCAGGATTTACTAAATCCTAAATAGTTAGATCCTACTGGTTGCCAAACAACCCCGTACTAAATATGATATTTATCACAAAAAGGTGGTAACAACGAATTTATTCCGCTTTGAGATTTACGTTGAGTGGTAGTTTTGTTTGGCAGTTTTATGTTAAATCATGCTCAAATCCGGCGTAAATCCTGTTGCCAAACAACTCCTTAGAGCTACTTTGGACATTGTCTATAGCTCTTGATTTTTTTAGTTGTGGCGTATTGCTGAAGAGTTTTTATTAGAACCAATGATACTGAGAGTTCATGCCATTCAACAACGACAACATTAACCCTTTATCCCACTACATGAGGTCGGCTACATGAATCATTTTTCTCCATTGTGTCTTGTTAAGAGTCAAATTCTCATTTAGATCTGATAAAGAAAGATCATTTCTAATATTTTCTAACCCAGTCTTTTTAGGTGTACCCCTACCTTTCTTAATATAGGCAAAATCTAATACATCTACTCTCCTAAACAGGGTCACTGGAAGGCCGACGTTTTACATGACCAAACCATCTAAGGAGACTATCTCTAATCTTATTTGTCACTTGAACTACTCCAACCTTTTTCTGGGTATGCTCGTTTCATATCCTGTCTCTAAGTGTAAGTCCACTCATCCACCTGTGCATCCTCATCTCAGCAACACTTAACTTAATATCATGCTTCTTTTATAATGACCAACATTCTGCGCCATAAAGCATTGTAGGTCTCACCACAATCTTATAAATTTTCTCTTAAGATTGAGTGGTACTTTTCTATCACACAACAAACACAAAACATTTCTCCACTTCAACCATCCAACTTGAATTCTACTAATAATATCCCCATCTATTTCACCATATGATGTGAAACATATATTAGATGCATGAATTATTTGTGATTAATAAGTGATTGACAAACTTACCAATTATAAAATTAATGTTTCACAAGAGTTTATTTTAGGATTTTCTTAGTTGGTGATCAAGCAATAACATGCGATTACAAATAGAGTAGGAGAATAATAAAATAATAATAAAGACACAAAATGCTTATTTGGAACTAACAGAATTCTCATAATTAACAACTAGAATAGTCACAATGAAATTCTCTCACTCATACTCTTTGAGAATTTCAGCGGGAGAAAACTTGACACAAAATTAATGATGCCATTAAGAAGAAGCAATCACTTAAAGTTTTGTTCAAGGAAAAATTACCCAGGAAAGAGGTGACAGGTGGACGGTGGGAGAGTTGCCACTGAATCAGAGGTCGAGGCTTGTCAATTGCGGTTGCAAGGGAGAAGAAGATTCGATTTACGTATTCCTCGACGGTATGGTCGTTGCCAAAGTCGATGTCGAGAAAAAGGAGAATGGAGCACATCCACTGGCTTTGATCATCAAAGACGAAGGCATGATCCAAATTTGGATCGACCATCCATGGAGGAAGGAAAAAAGGGGTGGCTACTTAGATGTAAATAAGTGTATGAGAGTGGACAATGGCTTTGAGATTTAATGGAGAGGAGAGTCGACAACAATAGGGGAGATTAATGGGGCTGGGAAGGAGAAAAGGTCAACATATATGGGAATTGGAAAGGATTTAATTAAGTGGGGTTAATGAGGATTGGGAAGGGGAAACTGTAGCAACTAGGGAATAGGAAAGACTTTAATTAAATGGAGTTAATGAGGGTTGGGAAGGGCAAAAGGCAGTAGCTATGGGAATGGAAAAAGTTTTAATTATGTTGGGTTAATGAGTACTGTGAAGAGGAAAAGGTGGCAACTAGGGAATATCAAGAGGCAAGTTAGAAGACTGGCCGACCAAGGGAATGCAACAAAGAGTTTGGCTAGCTATGCAGAAGAGGGAGGGAGGCTCGGTTGGCTATATGGAGGGGAAGGAAAGCGGTTTGCCGGCTGTTTGATGGGTGGGAAGGCTCAGTGGCTACTTGGGAAGGGTTGGAATATTCAATTGGCTGTTTGGAAGGGTTGGAGTGCTTGGTGGGCTATTTAGGAGGATAGGGGGAGAGAGAGGAGATAGGACAAAACCAAGAACATTTCCACGATGACGGTTGTTGGGTGTTGCTTTGCCCTACTCCTAGGGACTTCACTCTTCAAGAAGACTCAAACACAACTCAAAAAATAGAAGTTTCATTCATAATAATCATCATCTCCATATAATAGCCTAGGACCTCAATATATAAGCCTCAAAACATGAAGACTCAAAAGACTAAAACGCACCTTGGGCTACAACGTATAAATAACCCAACATAAGGGTATAATGGAAAAAACTTTCTACTGAAGATGAAATAAGAAAATGAAATACATGAAATAAGTCATAAATAAAGGCTCCTAATCATAGTCATCGAACTACGGCTCCTCCTATGATAGACAAACC